ACCACAGCCTAATCTTATTTCTATATAGTTTACCATAATAGTACAGAATATACAATCTCCCCTAACTTTTACCTTCCTATATATATTGTATTTATTGTTACAATCTGTGACAGTAATTGGCATCCTTGGTGCCTAACCAATGGCATGCTATTTCACAATAAAAATTCAATCAAATGTTATCATTTCACGTAGGATTTTTAATTTTGTTCAAAGTTACATTTACCCTTATTTTTATTTTTGTACATATATATTTTGCTTTCATATGTTTTGTTCCATCATCAGAACACAATACTAAAACATAATCTGCATGAAAATTTAGATAATTTACAATTGTTTGCTTTTGTTTTTATAGTATTGAATACCCTAAATTTGTTTCCATAATTCAATAACAATCTTGAGATAAATTTAAATCAAAAAAAGCTTAGAAAGAACTCCTGTGTGCTGACAGTATTGGAGACAGATTAAAAATTATTTGTACTTGTGATATAGATGAAAACTAATTATGCAAATCAGGTAATTAATATGAACAAATTTGAGTGTAAAACTAATAAGGTCTGTGCAAGTACCATGTATGAACCAAGGTCAATTTCTGGGCATTATTAATTAATATTCAAACTATCTAACCATTGGACTGAAATTTGTCATTTTAGGACACAACATTTTTGGTTATAAATGCAAAAATACATCTACATATACATGTAGTTAGTCCTTACAATTTTTATAGTGGTATGATCCAAAATTAGTCTTTTTGTTGGTACAATTTGTTGTAGCACACTATATGTAAAGATGCACTCAAAAACTTGACAACCTTAATTAACTTTTACACCACCAGTTCCCGCTTTTCATCACAAATTCACAAAATAGTCCAGTTAACAGTCCACACTTTCCTTCGGAAGATTGGGATGAAAAAAAAAAATTTGGAGTGAAAATTCACTCACATTTTTTAGTTGACTCCAAAATTAGCGTTCATTTCCAGAAATATTGAAGAATATAAGAAACAAGTGCAGAAAATTTGGGGAAAAAAGTCTGGGGATGAAAAGACTTGAGACATGACTCGTGTTTCAAACATGAATTTTTGCAAATGCAAGAATATGTGCAAATCTGCAACTCAATGATTCAATATCTATATTTAGAGAGAAGTTCAATGAAATGTGTCTGCACATTATTGGTTTGCCAACATCAGATTGACGTGATGAATTGTCCACAGCTAAACTCTGTTTTATGGCTCTTTATTTAACATTGCAAACCTACTTTTAGCATCGTTTTACAAATCTGACATTTTCCTGATCGTATTTTGTATTCCAATCAGATCCAAACAAGTAAGTGAATGTGTCCAAGACATCGTGGTCGAAATGAGACTCCCAAAACGAGATTATGAATTGCAAATTCACTGCCTCCAGTTACAGTATGCTAATACTGATTGTCATTTGTTTAATGTATTTCTTATATTGATGCTCTTTTGTTTATGTACGTACTGTATCCATATTCAAGTTCTAACCCTTATCTGAGCAATTGTTAAGTATGCTAGTGTTTGAGAACTTCAGAGTTGAACAAAGCTAAGCTGTATTTTATCGATTATTTCAGAATCTCTGAACATCAAAACATTTGACTAAACTAATAATAATTTTTTTGACATGATCACACTTATGGGGCAAGATCAGCGCCAAAATTATTTTTACCTGCTTTATTTTAGTGTTTTCCTCAGTATATTAACATTTAGTTGACATTTTTATATTGTTTTTGCATTAGGTTGGCATTGTCTTGACATTTTTATATTGTCTTTGTATTAGGATGGCATTGTCTTGCCATTTTTATATTGTCTTTGCATTAGGTTGGCATTGTCTTGATATTTTTATATTGTCTTTGCATTAGGATGGCATTGGTTTGACATTTTTATATTGTCTTTGCATTAGGTTGGCATTGTCTTGACATTGTTATATTGTCTTTACATTAGGATGGCATTGTCTTTAACATTTTGATATTGTCCTTGCATTAGGTTGGCATTGTCTTGACATTTTTATATTGTCTTTGCATTAGGATGGCATTGGTTTGACATTTTTATATTGTCTTTGCATTAGGTTGGCATTGTCTTGACATTTTTATATTGTCTTTGCATTAGGTTGGCATTGTCTTGACATTTTTATATTGTCTTTGCATTAGGATGGCATTGTCTTGACATTTTTATATTGTCTTTGCATTAGGATGGCATTGTCTTGATATTTTTATATTGTCTTTGCATTAGGATGGCATTGGTTTGACATTTTTATATTGTCTTTGCATTAGGTTGGCATTGTCTTGACATTGTTATATTGTCTTTGCATTAGGATGGCATTGTCTTTAACATTTTGATATTGTCCTTGCATTAGGTTGGCATTGTCTTGACATTTTTATATTGTCTTTGTATTAGGATGGCATTGTCTTGACATTTTTATATTGTCTTTGCATTAGGA